GTTTCGGTTTTAATAAACCATTTTCAAACAAATTCATTAAAATACAAATTCAGTTCAATATGACGAAAACGATGGACATAAAAACACAAGTCTTATCCAAAGAGTAAAACAGATAACTGAAAATTTTTAAAAGATCAGCTTTCCGTTTAACGTGGTCACGCCGTAGTCACATGGGCGACGCTTTCATAACGTATTCCTAAAAGTTCGTGATTATTTTAAAATTCCTGTATTTCCGGATAAGCCTGCAATCTTCCATGTTGTAAAAAACGAATTTAGGTTTGTGTTTTCAGTAGACAGTATATAAGCAAGTGTAAATGGATAAAATCCGACAGAATGTAGAAATTTGAAAAACAAACAAAAATCCATAAATGTAGTTAAAATGAAAGAATTGTCGACGTCAGACGTTTCGGTTTTAATAAACCATTTTCAAGACAAATTCATTAAAATACAAAAAAATTTTCAGTTATCTGTTTTACTGCAAAAAGTTAAATGCAATGTCAATCGTTATTGTTGTGTATGATACACCTAATTTACATAAGCGGACTACCGACCATATAAATATGGGTTGGTACCGGAAGACGGGGGAGATAGTAGAGATTAAGAAATTGAATCCAGAGACTCTGCCCGACTGCGATTTAGTCAACCCATTATGCAGGAACAGTCTTCCCAAGAATATACCAAACTAACTGTAAATATTGTGTACCTATTCTTTGTTTCAATATATTTTGTTAACGTACATTTTGTGTTGTATTATTCCATGCTTATTTAAGCTTCAACAGTTATTAATCTGTCCCGCTTGATTATTTTTATTTTGTTCTCGCTTCTTCGTAATTTGCCTGTTTCCTAATTCTTCCACGCCCTTCCTATACTAACTTGCTTGTGGTAAACTCGATTAATATATATATATATATATATATATATATATATATATATATATGAACAATAAGAAAATAAAAAAATTAGAAAATAAAAAATTATATATATATATATATATATATATATATATATATATATATATACCTTTTCGTCCCGTAGATTCTCCTGGAGGTATGCGACCACGGCTCATTTAGTCCTTTGAAACATTTTTTTGAAATAAATACACTTTAATCCAATAATGGCTGCCTTCCCATTAGAAGTATTTTCAGACGACGAACAATATTACACCGAAATCTGAAAGTGCATTTGAATAGTGAAAGATGCTTCCTAAAAGCTAAGCAAAGTATTAAGAAACAGGAAAATTTTGCACCGTAAGCAAAGAAAGGAGTCACATTATCTTGAAATAATGTGAAGACATTAACAAATAACCTAAAGTATAAGAAGGATTGGTTTGTTTTGACGACTTAAGTCGGAAGATATTTTTCTAGTGTAATAATTTTGGGGTGATAACGGTGATTTACGAATACAAGTGCCTATGGCTGGGATAGAAGAAGGGGGTTCCTAACTTTCAGAAGTTTAGTTGCACGGAAGTGAATATAACGAACTCGACTGGAATTGGAACATGGCTCTCCTTGAAATCCAGATTTCAAGACGCCTAAAACTTAACAATACACACACATGTATACAGACACAAACACACACACAAAACACACCCATACAGATATATATATATATATATATATATATATATATATATATATATATATATAAGATTAATACAAATATAAAATATGTCACTTAGCTGATTGATGTTATATACAGCCCTGAGAATCGAGAGTTCTGTAGACGAAATATTACTGCAATCGTTCAGACCACTCGACAGGAGCTGTTAGCAAGTGCCTGCCGATTTTTTCTCATTTTTGTTATTTTTATATTGTTACAAAAATAATATATTCACTTTTTATTGATGTTAGTTTTGATATTTTCTGTGTTTTTTGTGTGTGTATGTGTACGTGCGTGCGTGTATGTGTGTGTAAACCTGTACGTGTGTGTATGGGAACATGTGCAAAATGTCGTTGTTATTTTTTCTTTTCGTAAATTTTCTTTTTATTTATCATCTCTAATAATTCCTATTCCTTCTTTTCTCTCTCTTTCGGCTCTAAATTTCAAAGACAATGCAACAATGATATTTCCAGTGTCAGAGACAGGACTTACCTTTAGGTTATTTTTTCTAGAATATTCTGGAGTTTTGTTAAGTTTTGAAAATATAGGTGTATTTCATTTTTTTATATATTTCTTCTTTAAATAAATATATTTTTAACGCTTAAGGAGAAAATCTATCTATCTATCTATCTATCTATCTATCTATATATATATATATATATATACAGAGAGAGAGAGAGATAAATAGATAGATAGAGAATATTAGTGGTAAATATACACATACATATGCAATCACATATCTAAAATATATAAATATATATACATACATTCATACACATACATATATATTTGTATAAAAAATAAGTCCAAGAGGATAGATTCCAGGTAGAACTCAATGTCCAGGACAGAGTAAGGATATAATATTATATATTATATTATATTATATATATATATATATATATATATATATATATATATATATATATATATATATATATATATCGATAATAATATCGATGTGTAATAATCCAACCTATTATATTATATATATATATATATATATATATATATATATATATATATATATATATATATATATATATCGATGTAATAATAATCAACCTATTATAATATATATATATATATATATATATATATATATATATATATATATATATATATATATCGATAATAATATCGATGTGTAATAATCCAACCTATTATATTATATTATATATATATATATATATATATATATATATATATATATATATATATATATATATATATATATCGATGTGTAATAATCCAATTCTTCTCTTTACAGTGCTCTTTTTTAACCGTGTTTTCTATTCTTTTTCAGGTAAGTGTCAAGCGTTTAACATTCTGAAATTCCATTACCGTGTCATCAGCCACTAAAAGCAGACGACATCATCACTAAGCCAAGACACCATTTTCATTTGTATAATGAATTGCTGTTTCGTGAGTAATTCAATAAGACTTTTGATTCTTTCAAAACTTTCAAAAATATTCTATAACATCTTGGCCACACAAATAATCACGTTTATTTCTACCTGTAATTGTCGTTAAACATATGAATCAAGGTAAACGCCACCTACCGGTATTTATTCTCATTAAAATTAGAGTGAAACCAAATCGATCGTAGAAATGACTTCTATTTTAGATTTGAATAAGAAATAAAATCAAATTTAGGACAAAATGAATGAAGACACCTAACAATTTTAAAATTGACGACACAAATATACCCATCATGTCGACAATGGCTTCAGACCTTCCAAGTGTTGGAGACTGTAGCAACACTTCGGAGGACAGTTAGCTGTCAGTTGGCTTTTTAAAAAAAAAATGTATTAGGTTTTCGCACATGAAATGACACACTTTATAGGGAATGAATAAAACGTTTCTGAAATGTTAAATAACTAACTTATTCAGTTGAAATAGGCACCATATTGATGAATGACTTTTCTCCAACGTTCTTCTAAATTCTTGATCCTATCTTTAAAATAATTCTCATCCTTTGATGTGATAAACAGTTCAAATGCTTCGATTATCCCTTCCTTATTGGAGAACCTTTTTATTGGGCATGAAAAGCTCGAAATGCTTAAATAAGTGAAAATCTCTAGGAATGATATCAGGTACATGTTTAGGATCAGGCAAAATTTCATAATTCAGGCAATACAGATTTTGGACAGTTAATTGAGAAGCGTGCGGCCATGCATTGTTTTGCGACAAACTAGGACGATATCTATTCCCAAGTCTTGGATGTTTCTTTTTCAATTTTTCGTGCATACACTTAATTTCTCCACAGTACGAGGTTGCTGTTAATGTTTTCCCTTGAAGAAAGAATAAATAAACAATAACTCCTTTTAAAGACCGCCATGCAGTAACCATTAACATTTTAGGGTGCAGTGGAGGTTTTAGGTATTGTTTTTGTGATTCACTTGCATCCAACCATTGGACTATTCTCTTACTGTTGTCAAAGAGTATATATTTCCCATAGCATGTAATGATTCGATGTAAAAATGGTTCTTTTTCCCAGTTTGCACTCGTACGGTAAGATTACTCGACATTGTTTCATTGTAATCATTTTCATTGGGCTTATAGAGTAACAATATATTGAAAAAAAAATTATCTGAAAAGTAAAAAAATCAGGAATGAATCAAGATTTTTTTTTATATGCTAAAGAGGTTACTTCGTAAGAAAACCGAATCAACAACCAGCCATAAAATACGTCATTTCATGTGTGGCAGCCTAACATTAAAGTAAGAATGAATGTCAATATTCCGGTTGGAGAAGACCATGAAAAACAGTAGTTAAAATTGTAGCTGGCAAATACGAAACTCAACCAATCACCAAACAGGTCCTTCTTTCGCCCATATATTATCGTGTGACGGGTGAGGAATCTGATATCGAAATGTTCTTTCTCTATGACGCTACACGTTTTTTTTTTTTTTTTTCCCCGTAGAGTCAAACGCTTGCAGTGAGAATGTTAACTTCTGTGCTTGTAATAATTTATATGCATGATGCCTTTCAAGGGTTAATGAATATTAATATTAATGCTATTAAAAATTCTCTACTATTTAAGCCTAAGGGTCCTGGCAAAGGTCAACCTCCACTGAAATTTGTGAATTGGTGGTAGATATTCACAACGGACTGTACCAAATAACAGAAATCAAATCACTTGAGGACTGCCAACAGCAGCAACAACTAAAATGGATGGCATGTGTAACTTGAAGAGAAAATAATCAAGATGTTGACATTTAACACTATTTCAAATAAAAGGTGAGGAAGGACCCTCTCCAACAATACTGCAAAGGGTAATAACAGCTGCCAGACCTGAAAAACCTATTTTCCTGAAAATTTGTTTTAAGAGAAAGATTTTATAAATTTTAAACTGATACAGTACTGGCTGCTCTGTCAGTGAATTACAAATGTTTCCTTAGAAGGAAACGGCTAATATTGCCATTCTATGCTATAACGATTGTAAAACACTTATCTATCTATCTATCTATCTATCTATCTATCTATCTATCTATCTATCTATCTATCTCATTCTTTTCCCTATCTATCTATCTATCTATCTATCTATCTATCTATCTATCTATCTATCCCATTGTGTCACTTATCTATCTATCTATCTATCTATCTATCTATCTATCTATCTATCTATCTATCTATCCCTCTTTTTGTTCTCAGTTTTCTCGTTCTCTCTCCTGTTTCCAGCTTTTTTTCTTATTCTCTCTCACTTTATTTCTCTCCTGTCCGCTCTTGTTTCCTTTCTCCTCATATTATCACATTCCTTCCCCACTATCTCTCTCTATCTCTCTCCCCCTCTCTCTCCCCCTCTCTCTCTCTATCTATCTATCTATCTATCTATCTATCTATCTATCTATCTCATTCTGTTCAGATCTATCTATCTATCTATCTATCTATCTATCTATCTATCTATCTATCTATCTATGTCCGTCTGTTCATATCTATCTATCTATCTATCTATCTATCTATCTATCTATCTATCTCATTCTGTTCAGATCTATCTATCTGTCTATCTATCTATCTATCTATCTATCTCTTTATCAATTTCCTCATGTTATCGGTTTTCTCTCTCATTCTATCGCTTTTTCTTATCTTTCCCTCCCGTTGTTTTCTCTTTTATTTTCCTTTATCTTTGGTTATTCTCTCTCTCTCTCTCTCTCTCTCTCTCTCTTTATCAATTGCTTTGTGTTATCGTTTTTCTCTCTCATTCTATGGCTTTTTTTTATCTTTCTCTCCCGTTGTTCTCTCTTTCGCTTTCTCTTTATCTCTTCTTATTTCTCGCTCTTCCCCATGTTTCTTTCCCCTCTCTCTCTCTCCCTCTCTCTTTGTTCTCTTTCCTCTTCCTCGCTTTCTTTCTCTCTGTTTATCTTCATTTTTACAAATGTTTCTTTTCTCTACTTTCTCTCTCATCTAATATCAAATTATTCCACTGAATCCTTTATTAATGCTAGGAAACCGTATCGTCTGCTCATCTGTTTTCTTTCAATTTACCTCCCTATTTTCATTTTTATTTTCTAAACCTAGCTTAGTTTTCCATGAGGCCCCAAACGAGGAAATATAACAGTAAGAATGAATGTCAATATTCCGGTTGGAGAAAGCCATGAAAATCAGCAGTTAAAATTCTTGCTGGCAAATACGAAACTCTACTAATCACCAAAACAGATCCTTCTTCATTTTTCTTTCGTTCTCAATAACTCCGTCAAAATGCCCAATATATAATCATGTGACTGGTGAAGAATCTGATATCGAATGATTCTTGTGCGAATATCTATGCCACTAGACAATTTTTATTTCCACGTAGAATCAGACGTTTAAAAATATTCACCCCCGTCTTTGTAATATCTTTCATATGCGTAATGCATTTCAAGGGTTATTAAATGTTACTATTAATGCTATTAAAAATTCTCTACTATTTAAACCTCTATTTCATGTGTGTCAACCTAATATTACAAATGTTGGCAATGTGAACAAAATATAGACATTTTTCTATGTTCAGAAACTTTTGATAAAGTCAATGTAATTTTAATATAGCGATTTTTAATTTTGTCTCTCGATCCCTAATACAAATTTATTTGAATACTTTAAAAAAATGCTGATTAATAACTTTAGATATATTTATTAAAACAGTCAAACGTTTTTCTCCAGAAAGAAACAAAATTAAACATCTAATATTTTAGTCTCATGGCATGTGTAACTTGAAGAGAAAATAATCAAGATGTTGACATTTAACACTATTTCAAATAAAAGGTTAGGAAGGACCCTCCCCAACAATACTGAAAAGGGTGATAACAGCTACCAGACTTAAAAATGAAGAAGGATCTGTTTTGGTGGTTGGTAGAGTTTCGTATTTGCCAGCTAGAATTTTAACTGCTGATTTTCATGGCTTTTTCCATCTGAAATATTGACATTCATTCTTACTGTTATATTTTCTAGTTTTGGGCCTCATGGAAAACTAAGCTAGGTTTAGAAAATAAAAATGAAAATGGGAAGGTAAATTGAAACTGTTAGCATAGATTCTTCGCCTAATATATATTTTATTGAAGAAAGCACAAATAAAATATTTAAGGCCTCACATTTCTCCCAAGTCAAACAGTTAACTACAGAGTAATTGAAAAAATAACTCCCATTTTAAAATACATATAATTTATTTATTAAGTATATGTTGTGAAGTTGAAGTTAGCACTAATCAGCCGCTAAGCTCGTACATCGGTACTTAGTCACCCTCCCACGAGGGCACAAGGCCGGTTTAACGTGGGCTCGTCCAAAAATATGCCCTTTGAACCCGTATAAACGGGTTCAGGGTCGGTTTACCTCCCCGAAAGAGACTCCGACCTTCGGCGTAGCCTCGTTCGAGTTCCTCTCTGCCTTCGGGCAGAGAGTTCAACCGATCAGCTTATCAGCCGGTCGCCCGACTGCTAAGCTCGCACCTCTACCTCGTTATTCCCAGTGACCACTTATATGGGCTTTATTTAAAATTCGGTATGGGCGCCAGATTCCGGTACCAGCTTCTCGAGCCGCCCAGAAATTGCATCAGTTGATTTCACCAAAATCTCTTATGGTGTGGTAGACATAACTTCTTGAAGATCTTCCAAAGTCTTTGATTTGGTATAGTAGACATGCTTCTTTGACCAACCCCAAAGAAAAAAGTCACAGGGTATTAAGTCAGGGCTCCTGGATGATCACTGATACATAAAATAGAAAGTTAATTTTCAATCACCCTGTATATATAAATATAAACCCATACAAAAGATCTATTTATACTAGCGTGTATTTTGAAGGGGTGTAATGGTTGGCGGTTAAATACGAGAAGTCAGTGGTCCGATTACGAACTTGAGCCGATTTTGTTGGATTCCTTTTCTCAACCAATCTAGACACAGAATACAAACTTCGCATGTAACTGGCGTAACACATTCTATGCAGTCAAAACCGTAGCGATCCCAAAGATTCTATAATCTCGAGATGATTTCTATTTTAGATTTGAATAAGAAAGAAAATCAAATTTAGGACAAAATGAATGAAGTCACCTAACATTTTTTTTAAATTGACGACACAAATATGCCCATCATGTCGACAATGGCTTCAGACCTTCCAAGTGTTGGAGACTGTAGCAACACTTCGGAGGACAGTTAGCTGTCAGTTGGCTTTTTTAGAAAAATGCATTAAGTTGTTGCACATGAAATAACACACTTTATAGGGAATGAATAAAACGTTTCTGAAATGTTAAATAACTAACTTATTCAGTTGAAATAGGCACCATATTGATGAATGACTTTTCTCCAACGTTCTTCTAAATTCTTGATCCTATCTTTAAAAAATTCTCATCCTTTGATGTGATAAACAGTTCAAATGCTTCGATTACCTCTTCCATATTGGAGAACGTTTTATTGGGTATGAAAAGCCTGAAATGCTTAAATAAGCGAGAATCTGTAGGAGAGAGATCAGGTACATATTTAGGATCAGGCAAAATTTCATAATTCAGGCAATACAACGATGTACTATTATTTTAAATCATTCCACC